TTAACTCTTTTTAATGAAAGCCACCTGATTCCCACTAATGATCCGATCCTTGTAAGTTTCGTACAAAAAATTCTGATAAGTAACGATAAATGCAATGCTATTCAATTTTACCGTGTCCCTATTAGAGGAGCAACTCAACGTGCAGTGATGCAAACCAAGCCTTGTACAGATACATGTTTCTTGGAATTCTCAACCTGGAAATGGACAAACTCACAAGGGGCAACATGAAATCAACCAGCCAAAGTGAAATATCGACAATTCTGCACAAAAACTATCAGATAATAACAAAGCAAACAAATTAAGTAAATGGCAGTACTTATTTCGAGATCAAGCAAGCGTTGCACGTCTGCCTCTGTCTTTTTCATGTTCAGAACCAATCATGAAATCCATTACATTGAGAGCATTGATTTTGAAAACAGCACCTAGGAGACTAACAAAATACTAACTAGTCAGCAGCACTTGGCTTAACAACACTGGACTGCAAGAAAACTGCATCCTATTACCAAAGATGAACGAACAAGATTTTCAGCTGATCATGATCTCGATCTCTCCCGTGAACGACTGCATCACCAGTACAGATGAATGTAAGTTTCACATTTATGTAAACAACTACAAAACTTATATATGCATCGACCAAATCACTACAATTCAGAAAAATTCAGACCTTCGGTATCGGTCATGCAAGGGGCTTTCTGTTGCACCATACCCGGGACTGTCCCTCAGGTCTGGCTTAGTATTTGGGCTGGCGCTGCGATGATACTCATCATCAGGACTAACCCTCTCCCTTCGAGGACTTGGGTCAGCCCCATGACCATATTCAGGGCTTACCCTCTCCCTTGGGCTAGGTCCACGGCCATTGTCAGAAGTATGCCTGCCTCTTCGAGGACTTGGGGTGGGACCACGTCCATAATCTCTTTCCCTTCCATTGGGACTTGGACTAGGGCCACGACCGTAATCAGGACTAGCCCGCTCCTTTCGGTACGGACTTGGGCTGCGGCCACGTCCACGGCCATAATCAGGACTTCCCCTCTCTCTCCCATAGGGGCTCGGAGTTCGTCCCCTGTCATAACCTCTCCTCCCAGGTGACCTATCCCGATTTCTATCAGGGCTATGTCCATTCTTCCTTTCATCATCATCTTTGATTGCATACTCCACTGAAATAACTCGATCCATCAGCTTGCTGCACATCAGAGAATGATACACAATCTTAGCTAGATAGAAATTTGATATAAACAACAGATATCCAGCAAAGAAGTTAAACAAATACAGTAAAAACAATTGCTTTTTCAGCAGAATCTGTCACATCTTCAGGCATAAAAGTTATACAATTGGACCAACTATTTTGGCCACCACAATTGGAAAAAAAAAATTTGCCTAGATCCCCTAAAGGAGAACCTACCTCATGTTTGTAGCATCCAGAGCTTTGGAGGCATCCTCCTGTGATTCAAACTGGATAAATGCAAAATTTCTTCTGATCCTAATATTCACTACTTTCCCGTATGGGTCAAAGTGCCTCTCCAAGTCCCTTTCCTTGGTATGATACGGATCGAAATTAATAACGAACAGAGTCTTGGATGGTCTCATATTCGTTGAAGACCTTCTTGAACTCTCAGGCCTTCTAACGCTACGCTCTTGCTGCAGCAAAAAATTATTCAACAATGCACAATTGCAATAGAGTAAACAGAGAGCAAACACAAAAAATTAAAGCACTGCTCGTACCTTTGTCCACTCAACACGAAGCCGACGTCCCTTTCTTCCAAATTCCCTCCGGTCAAGTCCTCGAATTGCATCCTCGGCATCTCTCTCATCATCCATATAAACAAACGCAAACCCTAAACCAACAAAGTAAAAGCACAAAAACAAATGCCTTTATACCCCATAGTTCTAAGAAACAAAAACTGAGTTAAGGATCCCCATGTGAAAGGACTTTTTAATCCGAGATCGCATTTTTTCCTTTTAAAAATATGCAAACCATCTATACTTCCGCCACAGAATAAAATAGACCGCTCTGTGAAATCCAGAAACTATGACCAGTAAAATCAGTAACAGACCTTGCATGATGAATTAAGTGGTGTCAAGGAACAAGAATCCAACGGTGGATGTCTCATGGTGATTTAATGAAAAGTGAGTGCCTTCTCCAATTATTCTGTCAATTTATTCTGCTGCCTCTGCTTCGAGGTCGGTATGGTTTCTAGCTTGTGACATGTCTGAAAATGAGGGCTGGGCAAAAGTCATGAGGAATGGAAAGCAATAGTCTTGAGGAAAATGTGTGATGGCGATGCCATAGTGGATCAGAGTGGCTCTTCTTGAAAACAAGAAGAGGATGCACGGCACGGCACGGCCAGGAAATGGAATGCAGAAGGTCCCATCCATCAGCCAGGAATTGTAAGGAGTCTATGGACATTCCAATGTAATCCTGCGTCAAAGAATTAGTTGAGTATGGGGGTTTTACCCTTTAAAAAACATATCTTTTTTCTTAAGCATATCCTGACACCCCCTTATAACTCAATAAGGAAGGATAGCGGTTGCCATTGTTAGGTCATCTGGATAATGTTGCACCATGCTGCATCAAAAGCCATCCAATTTAGTACCAGATTCGGACATTGCTGAATGATCCCGATGCTGAAGAATCCACGGTGTTGTTTTGACATGATTTTTGCATGACGACTTTAATTTACAAAACAGGCAAATTTTGTTCACTTCTTCTCAACTTCAAACCGCTTGTGCTATCCTACCCATGTTACATACCAGAGCACACATCAGGTTAACATCAGCCACCACAAAACAGATATTGACAGCAACAGCATCTTGACTTCTTGAAATTACATTAGTGGATACCAAATCGGCTGCCATACCCTGATGTCTTAGAAAAGAGATCCTTTTCTCCTCCTCAGTCCTCACCAGTAGTCAGATTCAGAAATCACAGGGTAAATGTGCATTCAGACTTATGCCACAGTCATGTATGAACATAGTTGTACAATAGGTCAAAAGTTATTGTCCAATTACATAAAGAAGGTATCATTTTTATTTTCTTTTTCTCTGATAAGTTATAACTGGTTTCCGTTACTGTAAGCTACGTCATCAATTGCCCAAAGACCAATAATTGCAACTTAAAAATGATACAACACCAAGTTCAAGCAGATCAAAATCTCAGAAATTTCGCAAATTAGGTTCTAAGTAGAATAGTTTCCATGAGCAAAGCCATGATTAAGCCATATAAATAACAGAGCCACAGATGACAAAGCAATCTAACAGTTATCCGGCTAATAAACCAACAATATCCATACAGCTACAATAATCAAAGGAATGAACACCCAAAATAAAGGCTAAAATTACCAGACTTCATATCCACTCTATCCACCTTCCCATATCTCCTGAAAAGTCTCTCCAGATCAGACTGCCGTGCATCATAGTCAAAGTTTCCACAGAAAATGGGCCTCATTTCACCTAAACAGAAGATGAGGTAACTTTTGTAAACTCTTATTTCAGGGGAAGAAGATACACACCAAGCTTCACACATTTGACAATAATTCAAATAGGAGATTTTCATCGTATATAGTCATTTCAATCATACAATTATGGATTCACGTACAACAAAAAAAAAAAAAAACAAGCAATCAGCAAAATGAAGACTCTTACTAGAAAAAACAGAGCATACATCCCACAAATAAAACTTCCAACAGATAACATTTCTTTTGTGTGTGGCTACTTGACCATCTTACCAGAAAATGGCTCCCAAGCAGGAGCAGAAGCATCAAAAACTAATTTCCAAGAAGAAAACTTCAATTCTCCAAAGAGAAACTTCAATTTTAGGTCTAAATTGCAACATCTCTAGCAGAAAAATGCTAAAGTTAAACATTGAATCCTGGCGATATGCATAGCCAGATTAAGGCATCAATCCTTTTTTTTTTTTCTAGTAAAATTTGTGCAGATCACAAGGAAAACAAACAGATTGAAGCCTCTGAATTTTCTCCTTGAGTAACTTTCCTTCAACACAAACAAAGAAATTTTTCAAGATTTTATTTTCAGTTCTTAATAATATTAAAACATCATTCCGGGGAGCTCATACATCAACTCTTAATGGCCTCATCCTTGAGGTGGTTTCAAAAGAATTACCCAAATAACAAATCAGTCGACCATTAACAGATGAATTGCAACCCTTTCACAGCTTAGAACCCACCAACTTGGCCATAGTTCCGCATGGGTAGCACATAAGGAAGAAAATAGAACTCAAAAACCAAATCTTCTTCTACAAGTCAATTATCCACAAATTGAGACCGTCAAATCTAAACATCCAAACGTCTTTTAAAACTAGTTTGACAAGTTCAGGAGACTTGCCTAACATCTGTGAACCCATTTTTTGAGAATGGCATACTTCACCATCTAGCTTTGTTTCCCCAATCTTCCCAACCACCAAACCGACAGTTAAGAATCAATAGCGAGACTTTCTCACCAGCTATATAAACTTACAGTAGCAAAAAAAAAAAAAATTATTCTACGCTGGCGAACACTTCAAAAGCATATACACAAAAAAATTAGTAAGCAAGATTAGAACAAGAAATCAAAGCTTTGAACAGATCGAGTTAAAGAACAATCAGATCAAGCCGTTCGTGTGTACATAACATTAGATCGGACCCTAATACTCCGTTTAAAATTGAGAAACATCCATTATACCAAAAAAAAAACTTCAAAATTTCAAAACCGACGATCCAAACATTGAGACGTTCATTAGAACCCCAAATCTAGGTTAATATGGTCTAATTTTGACGGAAACCAAACAGATCTAAAGAGATCACCAGATAAATTTGCTGAAATTCGAGATCTGTTGCGGACCTTTGGAGATTGGAAACCCTAATAGCTACAAAGAGATTTCCACCGTCGCTCGATGAGAAAGAAAATATCTTGTCAAACAAACGGCGACCTAATCCCTGTGGGTCATTATATAGTTCAGCAAAGTATCTGATATTTATTAACAAGACCCTGACGATTTATTGTTTCTAATAGTGGCACGTGTACTTTTGATCAGATGAAGAAATGAATGGGTAGCTAGAAATTGAATAAGTAAATCCTGAATTCGATTCTTTACAATCTTTTGATATTAGATGATGAGCAATATATTTATTATGATTATTTTATTCGTAACTTGTATGATTTATCTTTAATTAGTTCAAATAAGAGATTATTTAAAATATGTGTAAATTAGTCCAAGTACTCTGATCGTTGAATCAAATAAAAAAAAATTAAATGAATAGGTCTAAATTTGGGTTGAAATTTGAATTATTATTATTATTTTTATGAAGTTCGTTTTACTGATTTAGCTTACAAGTTGGTATTGATCAAGCCTTTTTTTTTCTTGATTAAAAAAAACGTTACTAACCAATATCAAATTAGCCTCTAGCAAGTTAGTTGGTCGGTTTCGACCTAGCTCATTGTGCTACACTTACGAGTGTTAAAACATAACATGACTTATTAAAGCAATATCAGCACAACACAAAATTAAAATTTTTTTGTATTTCTTAAACCACCATTTTTATAAATAAGTGGACCCAACATGACATAATTAATAAAAGAATCAAATATTAATGAAATGAACAATACTACATGGACCTTATCTGGGAATCTGATGATATGACTTTAATGTAACTGTTTGATTAGTTGTGAGTTCCAATGTTAAATAAAGCCCAAAACTAATTCAATTGTTGTACATCATTAGGTCCCTAATATAAGGTCCAAATAGAATTCCCCTAATGAAATCAATCAAAACAAATATACGACACAATTTATTTATATAACGGTTATACACGATTCATGCACGACACAAATTTTATATGATACGACTCATTATACACAAATTAATAAATAAATCGAGTATGAATGAAGTATTTTTTGATACAAAATCGTTAAGACTTGACATAAACTTGTTTCACCTAGCACAATTGAGAGACCTATTAACTNAGTATTTTTTGATACAAAATCGTTAAGACTTGACATAAACTTGTTTCACCTAGCACAATTGAGAGACCTATTAACTAGTAAAATCTTTTCTTGAATATTTATGGGAAATATTTTTTTTAAAAATAGATAGAGAATTACATATAGGTCCCTTGAGGTTTGTCACTTAATCATTTAGACACTCAGATATTTAAAATATTACATATAGACTCTCTAAAATTTGCATACACGTAACACTTAGGCTTTTGTCGTGTTTGTTAGTTTATCTGTTAGTAAATTATACTTAGACCCTCTAAAATTTTTAAGCATATAATATTTAAACTCCTCTAATTTAAAATATTATACTTATACAAAAAAAACTCTAATAAAAGATATAATATCAAATATTTTAAATTTTGCAACTAAATTTCATATTATATTATGTCATTTATTAAAATAAAATCAAAAATAAACATTCAATTTTTCTTTAAAAAATAATAATCAGTATATAATTATACTATCTATTAGAAGGTTAAAATATAATGGATATAATATTTTTTATATTTAATTGGGATAATTTGATTATTTAATAGATTTTGTTAGTTCTATAATTAAATAAGTGGTCTAAATATAATATTTTAAATTTGAGAGGTTAAGTGTTACATACTTATAAACTTCAAGAGGTTTGAATATAATTTATTAAGGAATTTATTAGGAGAAATTGACGATAGGCGTCTAAGTGTCATATGCGTACAAATCTTAAGAGATTTATGTATAATATTTTAAGTATCAATGGTTTAAGTGATTAAGTAACAAATTTCAAGGAAAATAGATGTAATTCTTGNGGAAATTATTAGGAGAAATTGACGATAGGCGTCTAAGTGTCATATGCGTACAAATCTTAAGAGATTTATGTATAATATTTTAAGTATCAATGGTTTAAGTGATTAAGTAACAAATTTCAAGGAAAATAGATGTAATTCTTGAAAAAAAAATGTTACATAAAAAAGGGTGCGGAAAAAAAAAAAATGTGAGAGGGAGAAGGTTAGGCAGGTGGGAAAGTAGAAGAACAAGTCATCCCACTATAGACCGTAAAAGCCCAAATGATCCTACCAACAAACAATAATGCCCAAATCCAATGCTGTGCACATTTGGTTTAGGGCCTGAACTTCGGGTCATGAAGCAAGCCTAACCTCGTTGCTGGTCCGCTAGAGGATAGGTAGGCTGAAATAAGGAATGTTTGACTATTTTAACAAAAAGAGTTTTTTTATGTGAGAATTTAATTTTACATCGATTAAATAATTTTTTAATATTTTTATTTAATTATTTTTTTGTCATAACTCTTACATTAAAAATTCANCACCTTGCTCTATATGTATATGGTTTACCATCATCAAAAAAACTTAGAAATCGTGTTACTCCTGTTGAAATCGTGTCACTCCTGTCGAAATTCCCACCCACCTTACTCTATATGTATATGGTTGCCATCATCAAAAACTTCAAAATCGTGTTACTCTTGTCATATTATAGTAGTTAGATTAGTTGATTGTGTCAAAATCGTGTTACTCGTGTAGGTAACGTTGTATCATTTATTAAGGTAGCCCCACGCGGAAGAATGTGAGATTCTAAGCAATTAGAGAATGGGTTTGGTTTAGAAAAATATCCTACTGGTCATTTACTATCCTTTTACATAGTCAAAAAGCATAGGACAGGACCTCTGCATGAAATTCAAATTAAGAAATCTATTGGACCAGAAAGCTTATATATATTAAGGTTGTGATATTTTGCCCAAGTTCTTTGTAAATCTTTTTCATGCATTAATTGTACAATGTTGTAGTTTTTTTTTCAATAATGATGTTGATGACACAACTCTCATTATACATATTTTATCTCATTAAAGCTCAATGGCATTCTCAGAATGGTAATTCAAGCTTAAGATGGTGACATCCATAAATTATCAAACGGATCCTTTTGCTAATTCTTTTGAAAAATACGTTTATTCAATAAAAAAAAAAGAAAGTAAATTTTCTTTTTTATTATATATATTTTTTCAGTAAAATCAATTGAAAAATAGTGGATGACCAAGACAATGTGAAAAGCAAAAGTGTTTATATAATTATTCTTTTAAAATTTTAATATTAGCAACATCTTCATGCAATTGAAGAATTTTGATTCTATCCTTTCCTACACATATATTTACAAAGGAAAAAAAAAGACAATTTATGAAAAACTAGAATGATTAACCTTCCTTTCAACTGATCAAAATTGAGAAAAAAATAAAATAAATTAATTATAAGTGATGAAATATACATTATTCATTTTTTATATCCCTTCATATATTCATATATATTATATTGATCCATCATATATACGGGCGACCATGGGCCAAGCCGAGTAGGGTTCGCCTGNCATTATTCATTTTTTATATCCCTTCATATATTCATATATATTATATTGATCCATCATATATACGGGCGACCATGGGCCAAGCCGAGTAGGGTTCGCCTGGCAAAAAATTTTTTGGGTTGGGCTTGGGTAGGGTAGACCCAAACCCTTATCCCGATAAGTTATCGAACGGATCAAGTTGGGCTTCGGGTAGAGGTAGGCTAGAAACTCAATCCGCCACTCACTAGGTGGGTCTACTGAACAAATTTTTTATATATAACTTCATTTAAAAATAATAAATATTTTTATAACTTAATAAATTTGTAGATTACATTTTTAAATTCAAAGTAAAGTCAAAATATACAAAAAATAAATAATAATTAAATTTATTTATAAATAGAGGAGAAATTGTATCACAATAGAATAAACACATCCCAATTTGGTTGACACCTATCCACTTATTTATCATTTGTACAACTCTACCTTTTAAAGCATGTGTATTAATATATGGAAAAAAAATACATTATTTATAATATCTAAATTTCTAAAATTTTGAATTCTGACATTGAAAAACTTATTTTTATATTTTGACTGGACTGGGCGAGCGGGTTTTGGGCCAAATTTTCACGAGCTNGACACAACTCTCATTATACATATTTTATCTCATTAAAGCTCAATGGCATTCTCAGAATGGTAATTCAAGCTTAAGATGGTGACATCCATAAATTATCAAACGGATCCTTTTGCTAATTCTTTTGAAAAATACGTTTATTCAATAAAAAAAAAAAAGAAAGTAAATTTTCTTTTTTATTATATATATTTTTTCAGTAAAATCAATTGAAAAATAGTGGATGACCAAGACAATGTGAAAAGCAAAAGTGTTTATATAATTATTCTTTTAAAATTTTAATATTAGCAACATCTTCATGCAATTGAAGAATTTTGATTCTATCCTTTCCTACACATATATTTACAAAGGAAAAAAAAAAAGACAATTTATAAAAAACTAGAATGATTAACCTTCCTTTCAACTGATCAAAATTGAGAAAAAAAATTAATTATAAGTGTTGAAATATACTTTATTCATTTTTTATATCCCTTCATATATTCATATATATTATATTGATCCATCATATATACGGGCGACCATGGCCAAGCCGAGTAGGGTTCGCCTGGCAAAAAATTTTTTGGGTTGGGCTTGGGTAGGGTAGACCCAAACCCTTATCCCGATAAGTTATCGAACGGATCAAGTTGGGCTTCGGGTAGAGGTAGGCTAGCAACTCAATCCGCCACTTACTAGGTGGGTCTACTGAACAAATTTTTTATATACAACTTCATTTAAAAATAATAAATATTTTTATAACTTAATAAATTTGTAGATTACATTTTTAAATTCAAAGTAAAGTCAAAATATACAAAAAATAAATAATAATTAAATTTATTTATAAATAGAGGAGAAATTGTATCACAATAAAATAAACACATCCCAATTTAGTTGACACCTATCCACTTATTTATCATTTGCACAACTCTACCTTTTAAAGCATGTGTATTAATATATGAAAAAGAAAAAATACATTATTTATAATATCTAAATTTCTAAAATTTTGAATTCTGACATTGAAAAACTTATTTTCATATTTTGACTGGACTGGGCAAGCGGGTTTTGGGCCAAATTTTCACGAGCGTTTTGCAAGCGGGTTACTAAGCTAGGATTTGGGCGGGCTGCCATCTTTCAAATTTATCGAGTTTCGAACCTATTTTTCGAGTTGAAAAATGACATCCGTGAATAATCCAACTTATGAACACCCCTAATCATATAATGTACACATTTATTTTATATATATAAAAAAATATACATCTATATTTTTTTCTTTCTTCTACTTTTCCATCCGTACTTCAAAAAAAAAATCAACCCCCTTATTTTTCATCCCCTACCAAACGGAAAGGACCCAAAAAAACAAAAGAATTAATTTCATAAAGAATAGGAGATTTTTTATTTTGGGAGATTTCTCCCAAACAATCTGTTATCAAAATGTGTCTTAAGATGACGGAAGCAGTACGTACCAGTCAAGAGTCTGGTGGATCAGACGAGACGAACTTACGATAATTTTTGTGGGGTCGGGCCGATCTCCATGACCGACCGACATACATGGAGAGCCATGGTGATGATTTGTGTGGGGGTACAATTACATTACAAGCGGTGCGCAGAGCATTATCCATGTCCTGGTTGGTTTCTGCTCCAATCCAATCCGGGTGGGGATATTCCAGTACTAGCGACATACGGGACATTTCACTCACCCAAGTTCCTGTACTGTACCTGCATTCTGTCTGAAAAAACGGTACACGCACCCACGACACCACAACATGACAGTACCATGTCGTGCTTATAATCATTGAAAACTTGACACAACCCTTTTTGTGTAATATACACAATACCATTACCAGGTAATACTTGCCAAGCACTCACTGGCTCAAAATTTATTCAATTCATCTCTAACCCATCAATGGTAAATGTAAAATCAAATACAAATTCGTGTTGGATTCCTGAGTTTGTAATTCCGTTTATGATCCATACACATCAAGATCAAAATCATCCTTTTGAGTAGTAAATTTTATTAAAAATTACTAACCCTAACACTTCGTTTGGTATAATAAAACAATAAAAAGATAAAAAAAATTAACAGTTAGTAAAAAAGATAAAATATCATGTTTGATAAAAAAAATAATAATAAAAGATGAAAAAAATAAAAAAAAAATTAATTTTTTTTCTAATTCACCAAAATCAATCCCACCAAAATAAAAAATTCAAGTAGATAAAAATTAATTATGTGTCAAAATATGTTAATTGTCTACACATTATTTGATATATATGTATCATATTTATCAATTACATATTATATATACATTAATTTCATATATAAACATAATAATAAATATGTATTTATATTTTTTTAATAAAAGCTTAAAAATTCAAAAATATAAATAATTTTTTTTTTCATCTTATTAAACACAAAAATTGATCCTTCTTACTTTCTATCTTTCTTACTAAACACAAAAGAAAAAGAAAGAAATAATAATTTTTCCTTTGAAGAATAAAAAATATACCACTTTCATTTTTCATCAACCGTTCCAAACAGACTATAAGCATAATCATCACCCTGATCCCAAAATTTCGGCTTTTGCAGGGATCGTCTTTTCCCTTGCTAGAACAAACCACACTAAACTAACCTGGGCTTANTATAAGCATAATCATCACCCTGATCCCAAAATTTCGGCTTTTGCAGGGATCGTCTTTCCCCTTGCTAGTACAAACCACACTAAACTAACCTGGGCTCGGTCACTCTTCCATCCCTACAACAAAAGTCAACGAAGCAAACACTATTACAACAACTGTAAGCCTACTACTATTCAATACTTTTAACTCTTTTTAATGAAAGCCACCTGATTCCCACTAATGATCCGATCNTCACCCTGATCCCAAAATTTCGGCTTTTGCAGGGATCGTCTTTTCCCTTGCTAGAACAAACCACACTAAACTAACCTGGGCTTAGTCACTCTTCCATCCCTACAACAAAAGTCAACGAAGCAAACACTATTACAACAACTGTAAGCCTACTACTATTCAATACTTAACTCTTTTTAATGAAAGCCACCTGATTCCCACTAATGATCCGATCCTTGTAAGTTTCGTACAAAAAATTCTGATAAGTAACGATAAATGCAATGCTATTCAATTTTACCGTGTCCCTATTAGAGGAGCAACTCAACGTGCAGTGATGCAAACCAAGCCTTGTACAGATACATGTTTCTTGGAATTCTCAACCTGGAAATGGACAAACTCACAAGGGGCAACATGAAATCAACCAGCCAAAGTGAAATATCGACAAACTGAAGNAAACCAAGCCTTGTACAGATACATGTTTCTTGGAATTCTCAACCTGGAAATGGACAAACTCACAAGGGGCAACATGAAATCAACCAGCCAAAGTGAAATATCGACAATTCTGCACAAAAACTATCAGATAATAACAAAGCAAACAAATTAAGTAAATGGCAGTACTTATTTCGAGATCAAGCAAGCGTTGCACGTCTGCCTCTGTCTTTTTCATGTTCAGAACCAATCATGAAATCCATTACATTGAGAGCATTGATTTTGAAAACAGCACCTAGGAGACTAACAAAATACTAACTAGTCAGCAGCACTTGGCTTAACAACACTGGACTGCAAGAAAACTGCATCCTATTACCAAAGATGAACGAACAAGATTTTCAGCTGATCATGATCTCGATCTCTCCCGTGAACGACTGCATCACCAGTACAGATGAATGTAAGTTTCACATTTATGTAAACAACTACAAAACTTGTATATGCATCAACCAAATCACTACAATTCAGAAAAATTCAGACCTTCGGTATCGGTCATGCAAGGGGCTTTCTGTTGCACCATACCCGGGACTGTCCCTCAGGTCTGGCTTAGTATTTGGGCTGGCGCTGCGATGATACTCATCATCAGGACTAACCCTCTCCCTTCGAGGACTTGGGTCAGCCCCATGACCATATTCAGGGCTTACCCTCTCCCTTGGGCTAGGTCCACGGCCATTGTCAGAAGTATGCCTGCCTCTTCGAGGACTTGGGGTGGGACCACGTCCATAATCTCTTTCCCTTCCATTGGGACTTGGACTAGGGCCACGACCGTAATCAGGACTAGCCCGCTCCTTTCGGTACGGACTTGGGCTGCGGCCACGTCCACGGCCATAATCAGGACTTCCCCTCTCTCTCCCATAGGGGCTCGGAGTTCGTCCCCTGTCATAACCTCTCCTCCCAGGTGACCTATCCCGATTTCTATCAGGGCTATGTCCATTCTTCCTTTCATCATCATCTTTGATTGCATACTCCACTGAAATAACTCGATCCATCAGCTTGCTGCACATCAGAGAATGATACACAATCTTAGCTAGATAGAAATTTGATATAAACAACAGATATCCAGCAAAGAAGTTAAACAAATACAGTAAAAACAATTGCTTTTTCAGCAGAATCTGTCACATCTTCAGGCATAAAAGTTATACAATTGGACCAACTATTTTGGCCACCACAATTGGAAAAAAAAAATTTGCCTAGATCCCCTAAAGGAGAACCTACCTCATGTTTGTAGCATCCAGAGCTTTGGAGGCATCCTCCTGTGATTCAAACTGGATAAATGCAAAATTTCTTCTGATCCTAATATTCACTACTTTCCCGTATGGGTCAAAGTGCCTCTCCAAGTCCCTTTCCTTGGTATGATACGGATCGAAATTAATAACGAACAGAGTCTTGGATGGTCTCATATTCGTTGAAGACCTTCTTGAACTCTCAGGCCTTCTAACGCTACGCTCTTGCTGCAGCAAAAAATTATTCAACAATGCACAATTGCAATAGAGTAAACAGAGAGCAAACACAAAAAATTAAAGCACTGCTCGTACCTTTGTCCACTCAACACGAAGCCGACGTCCCTTTCTTCCAAATTCCCTCCGGTCAAGTCCTCGAATTGCATCCTCGGCATCTCTCTCATCATCCATATAAACAAACGCAAACCCTAAACCAACAAAGTAAAAGCACAAAAACAAATGCCTTTATACCCCATAGTTCTAAGAAACAAAAACTGAGTTAAGGATCCCCATGTGAAAGGACTTTTTAATCCGAGATCGCATTTTTTCCTTTTAAAAATATGCAAACCATCTATACTTCCGCCACAGAATAAAATAGACCGCTCTGTGAAATCCAGAAACTATGACCAGTAAAATCAGTAACAGACCTTGCATGATGAATTAAGTGGTGTCAAGGAACAAGAATCCAACGGTGGATGTCTCATGGTGATTTAATGAAAAGTGAGTGCCTTCTCCAATTATTCTGTCAATTTATTCTGCTGCCTCTGCTTCGAGGTCGGTATGGTTTCTAGCTTGTGACATGTCTGAAAATGAGGGCTGGGCAAAAGTCATGAGGAATGGAAAGCAATAGTCTTGAGGAAAATGTGTGATGGCGATGCCATAGTGGATCAGAGTGGCTCTTCTTGAAAACAAGAAGAGGATGCACGGCACGGCACGGCCAGGAAATGGAATGCAGAAGGTCCCATCCATCAGCCAGGAATTGTATGGAGTCTATGGACATTCCAATGTAATCCTGCGTCAAAGAATTAGTTGAGTATGGGGGTTTTACCCTTTAAAAAACATATCTTTTTTCTTAAGCATATCCTGACACCCCCTTATAACTCAATAAGGAAGGATAGCGGTTGCCATTGTTAGGTCATCTGGATAATGTTGCACCATGCTGCATCAAAAGCCATCCAATTTAGTACCAGATTTGGACATTGCTGAATGATCCCGATGCTGAAGAATCCACGGTGTTGTTTTGACATGATTTTTGCATGATGACTTTAATTTACAAAACAGGCAAATTTTGTTCACTTCTTCTCAACTTCAAACCGCTTGTGCTATCCTACCCATGTTACATACCAGAGCACACACATCAGGTTAACATCAGCCACCACAAAACAGATATTGACAGCAACAGCATCTTGACTTCTTGAAATTACATTAGTGGATACCAAATCGGCTGCCATACCCTGATGTCTTAGAAAAGAGATCCTTTTCTCCTCCTCAGTCCTCACCAGTAGTCAGATTCAGAAATCACAGGGTAAATGTGCATTCAGACTTATGCCACAGTCATGTATGAACATAGTTGTACAATAGGTCAAAAGTTATTGTCCAATTACATAAAGAAGGTATCATTTTTATTTTCTTTTTCTCTGATAAGTTATAACTGGTTTCCGTTACTGTAAGCTACGTCATCAATTGCCCAAAGACCAATAATTGCAACTTAAAAATGATACAACACCAAGTTCAAGCAGATCAAAATCTCAGAAATTTCGCAAATTAGGTTCCAAGTAGAATAGTTTCCATGAGCAAAGCCATGATTAAGCCATATAAATAACAGAGCCACAGATGACAAAGCAATATAACAGTTATCCGGCTAATAAACCAACAATATCCATACAGCTACAATAATCAAAGGAATGAACACCCAAAATAAAGGCTAAAATTACCAGACTTCATATCCACTCTATCCACCTTCCCATATCTCCTGAAAAGTCTCTCCAGATCAGACTGCCGTGCATCATAGTCAAAGTTTCCACAGAAAATGGGCCTCATTTCACCTAAACAGAAGATGAGGTAACTTTTGTAAACTCTTATTTCAGGGGAAGAAGATACACACCAAGCTTCACACATTTGACAATAATTCAAATAGGAGATTTTCATCGTATATAGTCATTTCAATCATACAATTATGGATTCACGTACAACAAAAAAAAAAAAAAACAAGCAATCAGCAAAATGAAGACTCTTACTAGAAAAAACAGAGCATACATCCCACAAATAAAACTTCCAACAGATAACATTTCTTTTGTGTGTGGCTACTTGACCATCTTACCAGAAAATGGCTCCCAAGCAGGAGCAGAAGCATCAAAAACTAATTTCCAAGAAGAAAACTTCAATTCTCCAAAGAGAAACTTCAATTTTAGGTCTAAATTGCAACATCTCTAGCAGAAAAATGCTAAAGTTAAACATTGAATCCTGGCGATATGCATAGCCAGATTAAGGCATCAATCCTTTTTTTTTTCCNAACATTGAATCCTGGCGATATGCATAGCCAGATTAAGGCATCAATCCTTTTTTTTTTTTCTNCATCTGGATAATGTTGCACCATGCTGCATCAAAAGCCATCCAATTTAGTACCAGATTTGGACATTGCTGAATGATCCCGATGCTGAAGAATCCACGGTGTTGTTTTGACATGATTTTTGCATGATNCCAGTAAAATTTGTGCAGATCACAAGGAAAACAAACAGATTGAAGCCTCTGAATTTTCTCCTTGAGTAACTTTCCTTCAACACAAACAAAGAAATTTTTCAAGATTTTATTTTCAGTTCTTAATAATATTAAAACATCATTCCGGGGAGCTCATACATCAACTCTTAATGGCCTCATCCTTGAGGTGGTTTCAAAAGAATTACCCAAATAACAAATCAGTCGACCATTAACAGATGAATTGCAACCCTTTCACAGCTTAGAACCCACCAACTTGGCCATAGTTCCGCATGGGTAGCACATAAGGAAGAAAATAGAACTCAAAAACCAAATCTTCTTCTACAAGTCAATTATCCACAAATTGAGACCGTCAAATCTAAACATCCAAACGTCTTTTAAAACTAGTTTGACAAGTTCAGGAGACTTGCCTAACATCTGTGAACCCATTTTTTGAGAATGGCATACTTCACCATCTAGCTTTGTTTCCCCAATCTTCCCAACCACCAAACCGACAGTTAAGAATCAATAGCGAGACTTTCTCACCAGCTATATAAACTTACAGTAGCAAAAAAAAAAAAACATTATTCTACGCTGGCGAACACTTCAAAAGCATATACACAAAAAAATTAGTAAGCAAGATTAGAACAAGAAATCAAAGCTTTGAACAGATCGAGTTAAAGAACAATCAGATCAAGCCGTTCGTGTGTACATAACATTAGATCGGACCCTAATACTCCGTTTAAAAATTGAGAAACATCCTTTATACCAAAAAAAAAACTTCAAAATTTCAAAACCGACGATCCAAACATTGAGACGTTCATTAGAACCCCAAATCTAGGTTAATATGGTCTAATTTTGACGGAAACCAAACAGATCTAAAGAGATCACCAGATAAATTTGCTGAAATTCGAGATCTGTTGCGGACCTTTGGAGATTGGAAACCCTAATAGCTACAAAGAGATTTCCACCGTCGCTCGATGAGAAAGAAAATATCTTGTCAAACAAACGGCGACCTAATCCTTGTGGGTCATTATATTGTTCAGCAAAGTATCTGATATTTATTAACAAGACCCTGACGATTTATTGTTTCTAAAAGTGGCACGTGTACTTTTGATCAGATGAAGAAATGAATGGGTAGCTAGAAATTGAATAAGTAAATCCTGAATTCGATTCTTTACAATCTTTTGATATTAGATGATGAGCAATTTATTTATTATGATTATTTTATTCGTAACTTGTATGATTTATCTTTAATTAGTTCAAATAAGAGATTATTTAAAATATGTGTAAATTAGTCCAAGTACTCTGATCGTTGAATCAAATAAAAAAAAATTAAATGAATAGGTCTAAATTTGGGTTGAAATTTGAATTATTATTATTATTTTTATGAAGTTCGTTTTACTGATTTAGCTTACAAGTTGGTATTGATCAAGCCTTTTTTTTTCTTGATTAAAAAAAACGTTACTAACCAATATCAAATTAGCCTCTAGCAAGTTAGTTGGTCGGTTTCGACCTAGCTCATTGTGCTACACTTACGAGTGTTAAAACATAACATGACTTATTAAAGCAATATCAGCACAACACAAAATTAAAAAATTTTTGTATTTCTTAAACCACCATTTTTATAAATAAGTGGACCTAACATGACATAATTAATAAAAGAATCAAATATTAATGAAATGAACAATGCTACATGGACCTTATCTGGGCATCTGATGATGTGACTTTAATGTAACTGTTTGATTAGTTGTGAGTTTCAGTGTTAAATAAAGCCCAAAACTAATTCAATTGTTGTACATCATTAGGTCCCTAATAAAAGGTCCAAATAGAATTCTCCTAATGAAATCAATCAAAACAAATATACGACACAATTTATTTATATAACGGTTATACACGATTCATGCACGACACAAATTTTATATGATACGACTCATTATACACAAATTAATAAATAAATCGAGTATGAATGAAATATTTTTTGATACAAAATCGTTAAGACTTGACATAAACTTGTTTCAACTAGCACAATTGAGAGACCTATTAACTAGTAAAATCTTTTCTTGAATATTTATGGGAAATATTTTTTTTAAAAATAGATAGAGAATTACATATAGGTCCCTTGAGGTTTGTCACTTAATCATTTAGACACTCAGATATTTAAAATATTACATATAGACTCTCTAAAATTTGCATGCACGTAACACTTAGGCTTTTGTCGTGTTCGTTAGTTTATCTGTTAGTAAATTATACTTAGACCCTCTAAAATTTTTAAGCATATAATATTTAAACTCCTCTAATTTAAAATATTATACTTATACAAAAAAAACTCTAATAAAAGATATAATATCAAATATTTTAAATTTTGCAACTAAATTTCATATTATATTATGTCATTTATTAAAATAAAATCAAAAATAAACATTCAATTTTTCTTTAAAAAATAATAATCAGTATATAATTATACTATCTATTAGAAGGTTAAAATATAATGGATATAATATTTTTTATATTTAATTGGTATAATTTGATTATTTAATAGATTTTGTTAGTTCTATAATTAAATAAGTGGTCTAAATATAATATTTTAAATTTGAGAGGTTAAGTGTTACATACTTATAAACTTCAAGAGGTTTGAATATAATTTATTAAGGAATTTATTAGGAGAAATTGACGATAGGCGTCTAAGTGTCATATGCGTACAAATCTTAAGAGATTTATGTATAATATTTTAAGTATCAATGGTTTAAGTGATTAAGTAACAAATTTCAAGGAAAATAGATGTAATTCTTGCAAAAAAAATTGTTACATAAAAAAGGGTGCGGAAAAAAAAAAAAAAAAA